TGTTCGGATACCACGGCGAAACGCACATCCTGGATTTCACTGCTAGCCACTATTCTTTATTGATATTTAATTGAAACGTGAGCAATATCAAGACATCGAAGCGGGACTCCATGTGCTAATAGAGACCGATCAATAAATGATAACCGTGACTCATTGGTGTAGTGGATGACGCTTTGACATTTGAAGCGATCAATCTCAAGTTCTCGTCCAAATGGGAACAACAGCGCTCATTGAGAGGTAGATAGATCCAACTGACGAGTCCCAGAGAGAACAAAATGCGTATTCTGGATTCCACTCTCAGCCACTATCCATCATTAATACTTTTAGAACGCTTTTGCAGATACATGCCAGTCTTTTAAAACCGATACATTTTTAACCAAATGAGAAAGCAAAGGGCTTACAAACCCTACTTTCGGTAGTTGTGTATGTTCCATAACACAACACTACCTTGATTAGCAAGCAATATTGTAAACTCTCTTTTCTGTCCTCCATCAGATGGCGACCCAAAGCAGAAAACAAATGAGATCACTGAAAAATAAAGTTTCATTTTATACCTCACAGACAAACATCATCAAGTGGACCGAATTACTTTTCCACCGTTGACATGTTGGCTCATTTGTGAATTTTTCATGGTAAACAACTTTGTTCCTGCTGGAATTCTCACCCAACACCTACTGCCTCACGCACCATAGCGTCTTACATCAGGCTACTGAGTCAAGATAGTCACTTCTTGCATGATGTCAAGGCACTGGCACTAGAGCTTATATGCTGATGGCAACCGAGGGGAAATTAAAAGCTATTACTTCAAGCTACACTCATCATACAAAGAGTAGCTACTGTGATTCTGTGGTGGTGTTTGAGACTTTGGATGCTAGGTTCTAGTCTCAGTGGGACCAATATCACTCATTTAGAAGCGCGTACTTCCAGCTAACGAGTCTCAAGCCTGACGAAATGCACATCCTAGATTCCACCGACAGTGAATATCCATTATTAGCATGAAAAATGATCTTACTTTATTCGAGTATTAGTTTATTTATTGCAGACTACAGTTACACTTCACCGTACAGACAAAGTTATCAATCGGATTCAGTCAGTAATAAACTATACATAAATTGTATAAGAAACGGAATAATTCAAGTGTTCAACATCACATACAAAAGCATTTCGGTTACTGTGAGAAGTGAATAGTTATACACACATACAGACATGGTCTACAGTGTTTGCGTTACACTAAATATGAAATATGTTACAGTTAAATGAATCATCCTATCATTGAACACTGAACAAATAAATGTGTATGAAAATATACATTATTTATTACAATTATTATTATTATTATTATTGTTTTAATAGGAATAGTCGGAAAAATGCGTGTAGTCAGGTTTTAAAAAAAAAGATGATATTTAACCTTTTCATAAAATTTATGTACAGTATTCAGTAGCCTACTAATAGTCCTCATATTGAAGCTGTTACTGTTAGCAGTGAGGAAGAAATTCCTAAGATTATTACAACCAGTAATAATAATAATAGTAATAATCCTAAAAACAACTATATTTTCTTCACCAGTAAAGGTGATTAGTGCACATTTAATGTCTCCGTACTGTTCAGTTATCTGTTTACCCACCTCATATTATTTGAGGTGTAAACGAGATAATCTTTTCAAAAGTGTAACAAAAATGTAAAATCTATTTTAAGATTTCAATCTCTTCAATTAACCAATGACGTTTTACAAAGTAAAGTCTGTTCTTTACATTCTGTTAACACTTTCATTTAAAATTGAATTGATGAGTCTTTTTTTTACTGAAGTAAATTGATGGCACAATATTCCATTATGTAACCACTAATCGACTTGAAATAGTATCACTTTGGATGAATAAAATGTCACTATTGTGTTTTAGCTAGAAAAGCTTTGTGGTTCAATGCAATGGAAGTACATTTTAGTCTGGTTGGTGACATTTTTACTTTCTGGAATGTAGGAATATTTAGACAAAGCACTAATCTCATGAAATACTTGTCCCAGATAAATGAACTAGATGAAATCTCCTTCTAATTATCTACTATATACTGCAAGTTATATAAAATCTTCTGGAGAACTGGATCACAATAACTTTTGACACATTAACCTGGAGAGAATTTAATACCTAGAAGTACGTTAAGTTATTTGTATCACTTTTCAGTAAGGCATATCTTCAACCTCGACGGCACTGATGTCAACTATGAGATTGGAATTCATGTCACTCAGTGACGTAGTCAGTGAGGTCACCACTGAGCTATTTTGACCACAGCTGAGCTCCTGTGAGACTGGATTACGTAACGTGACTGGTCTCAGTGTGAGGTTGGTTCAAATCTTTCAAGTGACATCAGATCCTTGGAGGCTAAAGATACACTTCGCTGACGAGCGCCAACAAGCAAGAAACCTAAGTAAACCAGGTCTTGTTGTTTATCGTCCCCAACCAACTAACAAGGATTACTACTATATACAGAAAGCATCAAAAACAGTGAAATACTGAACAATAAATGACATATAAAAACATTTTACTGTATCTTAGAACTTTACTTACTAGAAGCAAACTGAATAGTGTCCACATTGTTATTCTCAACAGTACGATAAATAACAAATGCGTTTTTGAGTTCACAGGTTATTAATAAGGCTTGAAGTATGTCTTGAAGAAGCTTGCATTCTTCTGAAGACTTAAACACTTACTCATCAATGCTGAAGTTAGAGGCTAGACTAATTTAAGACAATTTATCAGTAAAAGATGCTTCAATTATTACTAAAGTAAATGGTAAAGTTTTCCATATGATTATTATCAGTCATTTGAGTATATTAAGGATTCAAAAGTATCTTTTCAAGATTGAGTTATGACTACAACCATGAGCTGTAACTCATTAGTTTAGATACTCGACTTTTAACCAGTGGGTCACGAGTGTAAACGCCAGGAAGTATCAGTAAACCTCAAATAAAAGATGTAGCTCATTGTCTATTGCATGAATGTGCACGTGGTTGCTAAGTGTACTTCGATTTTTCTCTCGCAACCTTGATAGTTAGACCGGAAATTTATACAGCTAATGATGGTGAAAGTTGATTTCGGTGACTTGTAGAAGAATCCCTGACGCAAGCTTTGTCCTTTCCAAGACTCGCCAGCTGGATGTACCTGCACCCCAGTGAGCGATGTGGTCCCCACTGAGGCTCGGACACAGTATCCTTCGCTCCAAACGACAGAGTGTTACCCACTAAGTCACTGGGGTACGATAGCCACCTCATGTGCAATGGGTATCCAGTTATTGTTATGATACCCGTTTCACAAGAGGTAGCTATCGTGGCCTTGTGGCTTAGTATGTAGCATTCCATGGTTTGAAGCGAAGGGTACTGGGTTTAAGTCCCAGTGGGAACGACATCACTCACTCGGGCACAGGTAAATTCAGTTGACGAGTCCCAAATGGGACAAAACACGCATCGTGGATTCTTCTGCTAGTGACCTAAGTCAGTTTAGCATTAGGAATATTCTAGAGTATAGAGGCACCCGTGCAGCAGCCCATTTACCAACAGATACAATAGAATTCAGCCCTGTATAGCAACGTGAAACTACAAGTATTATAAAAACAAGTGATGAAAGTTATTTCAGGGGTTTCGTTCATTATTTTATTGTACTGAATGAGTGAAAAGATCTAGTAGTTTTGAAGTTAATTGTATCTTTGCAATACTGGTTTACGTCTCACAATTCAGTTTCTGTACAAAAGAAAAAATAATCTTTTTTTCGCTATATTTTGTCCCTGAAATTCAGGAACTATTCTTAGGTAAGAAATTTCGTTACCTAACTTGTTAAATAATATCAGCTTGATGTTTGATAGAACGTTGAGCTAATGAAAACGTGCACTCCTATCACTTCACAATACTATCACTTTTTTGAAATATTATTTCATGTTGGAATTATCCATAGAACATTGACTGTATAGGATGTGAATAATTTTTCCATTCTGAATCCTGAAAAAAGCACTTAAATTTGCTATAGGAATTACATCGACATTTTTGAAATTCCCAATCAGACATGTTGATAATCATATAAGTTACAATTCCTGGATAGTCAGTACACTCTGTGTGGAACATCACGGTACATATTCCTCCATTTTAGAATATTCTTAAGATATTTTATGGCTTTTTTCGCATACTTTTTAATTGTTGGTCTGTTATGAATGAATGTTGAATGAGAATACAATGTGATAAAAGCTTTGATTCAATCTAATGTTAATAATAATATCAATAAGGTATACTGAATTACTATTTACAGTATCAAACATACAGCTTAGCATGATTTACTTCTATGCCATAAATATTTTTCACAGGAATTAGGTCTCTATTGAATTCTGAACAGTCATATTGGTTTATCTGGGGGATTGTCACGTATAACACGGATGCTGTTAACAAAATATGCACGAGTGATGACTGACTGCTCATCCAACATGAGATGTAAATTATTACGAATAGTCATTTTCCACTAGCCCATTTTTATATATACAATAAAGTGTTTCTCGACACGTAAATTTATGCAAAATATGGGGACAGCATCAGGAGATGCGTCTAGTGACTTACTTGGTAGACTTTTTGGTCAGTTACTAGGAGTCTTGCGGTTAAAATTCTTTCGTAACCCAGATTTTCTTTTCGACTTTATTTATTACCAAGTTGCATGGATATCTGTCCACCGAACTGGATCAGAAAGACCCTTAACAAAGAGAAACAGTTTAACTGCAATACAAAACACAAAAAGAGGTACTGAAACGTCGTCTTAGATGAGCACATTTCTTAATGAAAATTATAACCTGAAGACTTTTAATGCACTGAGTATTATTGGCCAAGAAATTCAATTAGTGAACTACGGTTCTTTGGTTGAATTTATTTCATAAGACTTCAACTATGCAGCACAAAATAGTATTTGTCTGTCATCTACAATGTTATACCAGTGATGATTTGTCTTACCAATTCGACCATTATTTCATTTCAGTTAATGGAATCCAATCAAAAATTAGTTTGCAAGTGTCATGGTGTATCTGGAAGTTGTGCTCAACGTGTTTGTTTTCGTCAACTACGAAGAATAGATACAGAAGTAATGCAGAAAGCATTGAAGATGCGATACCTGGTAAGCTAAATCGAATTTAACTTTAGGTGAATAAACCGCATTTTATAGTAGTCCATATTCAGATAGATAGATAGTTACACAAAGAGTGCATATTATAACAAGGACTGAACAAGCTAGTCTTTGAAATCAACCAAGGAAAATACTCGTTCTAATCTGGAACTCCTCAGCAGTATGCACTCACGACTCAGCTAGGTGTCGAACACAGGACCTTTAGATCTCGTAGTGATCGAGTTAGCAACTTGGACACTGGGTTTGAGTTCACTGGTCCACAGCTCCCCGCTTCTATGAATTCGTGATATGGCGCAACTGTTCATCAGGGTTTTCAGTTGTCATTCGCATCACTTCGGATTGATTGACCCTACAGATCATGGCTTCTGATTAGGACTTTGAAACATTTCACCAGTGGACATTATACAGTATTTTGAGGTCTATGGAGAGGTATTATTGATTAGGGACAAACATCATCTGGTTAAGTTGTTTGCTCTGAGACCTGAAGGTCCGAAGTCCTACCGTTGGGGAGATTGTAGGTGTATACTGTTGAGGATTCCCACACTATGAGAAAGTCCCCCAATGGCCTCAGATTTCTAATGATTCTCCAAATGACGTCAGTTGGTGATGAATGCCGCCTTGAAATAAATAAAATCTCTGTAAACCACAAACTAAGAGGGAAAGAGTGAGAAACTTAAATACACACTGGTAATAGTTCAGTGGAGGCAAACGACAAAAAATGAAGAGAAAAGATGAAAAACAAACTGCCAAAACTCTTCAAATTAGCAGATAAAGAAACGGAATAGGGATGGGTAGTAAATCTTTTAGAAAGAACCATAATCCCTCATAGAATACAATTCACTCCGAAAGAGACTGAACCATAATACTGAGAACGTAAAAGTTGTTGGGTCTTCGTGCATCCTTTAATTCTTCACTAAAGACTACAAGAATAACAGCCAAAAGAAAAAGAACTATGATAACTAGTTATAACTTTGATAAAAACTAAAGGAATATAGAACCAACTCAGGACCGAAGATAAGAAAGTGCTGGTAAGTTTGATTCTAGCAATTAAGGAAAAAGGTAAACCGTTGTCATGGTAAAAGCAGATTACGCAGAAAAACCAAAAGAAATACTCAGTGTTGATAACAGTTACCAGTTAGTAGACAAGAATTCTATGTAACAATAAGAAAACAAATCCAAAGAAAATTAAGCAATCTGTTCAAACTTGAACAGAACAAAAGTAACAAGTGTAGCAGGATAATACCATCTCATTTCTCACTATTTCGAGGAGTATTCTCAACCTCTTACAAGCTTAATACGGTTGAGATGTACCAACAAATAAGAAGTGAACATAATTCCCAAGAGTTAACAAAAAGTTGTGGACAAGATCAAATGTATTCCCCAGTTTACATGTACGTACCGAAGCAAATATATTGAAAGATCATAGTGGGGTATTTTCCTTGGAACTTATCTCTAAGAATCTACGTCTAAATGGCCCTCATTAGCTAAGAAGTGTGACCCGAATTTTCAACACCAACTTCAAGTCAGTGCTTCTATATGGTTCAGAAACTTGGTGCGTTACGAAAGGCATTTCCAACAAACTACGGACATTCATCAACAACTGCCTACGCTGGCTCGATACTGAAGATCAGATGGCTAGAAAGCATAAGCAACAAGGAAGTGTGGGAACGAACCAACCAAGAAGCTGTCACTCAACAAATATGCACTGGAAGGGAGTGGAGATGGATTGGGCATACACTGAGAAGACCATTCGGGAACATTACGCGCCATGCCAGACCTCCGAGTGGAACCCAGATGGGAAATGGCGAGTTGGGCATCTCAGGTGAGGGTGACATAGAGGAGATGGTGTGAGAAAGAAATGAGAGCTTCTGGGCAGTCGTGGAGCCAGGTTTAAAAGATTGCAGAGAACAGAGTGAAGTAGCGATGTGCTACTGAAGCCCTATGTTCCACTAGGAATCCAAGGGACAAATACTAATAATAATACGTTACCTGATTGGTAATGAACTCAGTGTTAATATCCCTAAATCGTTCAGTGATTAGTAGTTGAAAGTATTCACACCTATTACTTTCTACCGAGGCGACATCTATGAAGAGACTTAAACCAAATCTGTGTTGAAAAGATATATATTTGCCAACCAACCTCACACACCTGTCGTCATTCGTTTACAAAAAATGTATGCAAACTTTTAATACGTCACTTTATTCTGTGTATTTTGTTACATCTCCCTATCTTGCACATTTTATTCTGTCCGAAATTTTATTATTTTACCTGAACTTTGCTCATCTTTTTCTTTAATCTCTTAAAAATTCAAAACATTTCGAGGTTACACAATAATTGGCAGTTATTTTCCATCTACCTATTGACCTTCTCGATCCAGAACATTTACTTAAAGATTCAATAAATAATCAGTCTTTTGTATACATGTTAACGATTTCCTCTTTATATCACATGTATTATCGGATGATCCTGTAAATGATTTCTTGTCAACTTTTTTAGAACTGTGTTCAGTTCTTTTTTATGAGTACAGTTTAGTGTTATTTAGGTTGTAAGCAATTGAGAAGAATCCTTGAATTAATAAAACTGAATTCGTATTATCCTGCTACACTTGTTACGTCTACTTTGTACAAATCTAGTGAAGTTGTCCAAATTAAGAAGGAATAATAGTGGCAGATGAAGACAAGCGGCTCAGTTCTACGAAGATTCATCAGTAGAACAAGAAGTACATAAGATAGATATTCCATAATCGCCAGTTGTGTCAATAACAAAAGCGTAATCTAAATTAGCAGAAGAAGGATGAAAAAATGAAACGTCTTTACGACGATAGCTAACACTCAGTCAGTTCAGCAGCTGAGTTCCCGGACAGAATAAAGGATATTCAGATAGATTATAGCAGAAAATGTTATCCTTTGATACAACTGCACTTTTCTTGTCAATCAATACAGATATTGCCAAAGAAACAATGAGTATCCTTCTCAATGACTAGGATCTTTAAAACAATAAGGAAATCACCGCCAAAAAGATAAAAGAAATAATCAGTCCGTCTGAAGACATAATTTTATTTCGCATCAAAGGTTTGCATACATTAAAGGAACGGTTATGAGCCCACCCAATACTCTAACTGATCGCCAAAGCGGTGAAGAAGAATCAATATTCAATTCAGTAATAAAACCAAAAATCTGAGCTCGTTATGCCGATGGTATTTCTGTAGTCATCAAAGCAAGTAAACTGAAAAACACGTTCATTATCATCAACCAAACCTTTGAAGGTGTTCCATTCACAAAAGAAGAAGAAGGAGACAATAACGAACTCCCCTTTTTAGGTATCAGGAGAACACATGATTGAAACTTACGGACTCAAGTGCCCAAGAAAGCGACACACATGGACCATATTTGAAACTTCAACAGTAACAACTCATCTCATTATAAGAAGACCTATGTCTAGCCATTATTTGCTCAAGCCAAAACTCATTGCAGCACTCAACGAATACATTTGCTTGGCTATTAATACTTTGTAAAGGTAGTTTTGTTCTATGATTATCCAATCAACTTCATCAACAGAGCACACATCATGACACTTAACTCTTCGAGATGAATCATTTTACCATACATGAAAGGTATCTCGGAAACTGTCAACCGACTAATTCATCCGTTCGGGATCATCTTGGCACACAAGATAACAAAATCCCCGCAATACAGTCTTGCAAGTTGAAGGGTCCAATATCGAAGGGAAACACAACGAGTATAATCTACAAACTATCAGCATCACTGTTAGCCGAGGTAGTCGTTGAATAGGCCAAACAATTTGCGACCACCAACTAGCGGTCAAACGACAATATATCATCACTGATATCGATAAATGACGATGAGCACAACCACAAATTTGATTGGGACAAGGCGAAAGTACCACAAAAGCAAAGTCAAAGGCTGCAAGAGAGATCCTAGAAACAAGGGACTCTACTCAAGGGGTAGTCAAAAGACACGAAGACACTGACCCATTACAAGGGTTACTGAGAAGGAGTCAGTCAAGTAAATAAATAATCAGACATTGAGATCACATCATAGCTCAAACAATAACAACAATTCTAAAGGTTAATCCCTGATAAAAAAGAATAGGTCACCCCTACGTAAAAGCCAATAACAGCTCAAGATCGACAATATCCTACACAAGCATCTATACAGTTTAGAAGTGTGTCACTTCTTTATAGAGTAAACGTTGATAAAGTTATCTGACCTCATGATGAAGCCTCTATGGCAAAATTCAAAGCTTGTAGAGCACCGAACAATTATCGTTTAAGCTTCTCCACTTCGACTTTAAGCACTATCTTTTCATAAAACAATCGTAGTTTTCAACTGTTGTTAGAATGGACTTTAGGGACACTCAACAATTCCAGATCCAGAATCAATTCAATAATATCAAGCTTTTAATGTAATTTAGGGTGGTGCATATTTCTTCCTTTCTGGGGCTTGCCTAGTGAATTTGTTTAAAAGCTGATGCATTGAAATCGAAGCGTATTTTCCAGCTTTCCAACCTGTGTGACTTATGCCAACAGAATACTGAAGTCTAAAAGTCGTGTCATATGAGCAAAAACTGCTGATCTAAAATTGACCAATCTCTGATAGGTGTTAATTTGATGGAGGTAATCTGCAAGAAGCCCTGTTCGACCTAGGTTTCGTGCTTGTTGGCACTCGTTAGCAAGGCGTGCCTGCAATCTTGACGGAACTGATGTCTCACCTAAGATTAGAACCTGCATTACCCAGTGTTGTAGTCAGTGACGTTACTACTGAGCTATTCAGACTACGACTCATCTCCTGTAGGACTGAATTATATACATGTTGTCTAGTCCTCAGTGCTGATGGAATTCTATTGATCACCTTACAATGTGGCCAGTCGTGGCCTGAATAGCTCAGTGGTAATGTCGATGAATATAGCATTGACTGACGCTAATTTGAATCCCAGGCGGGATATCAGTCCCGTACGGGGCTTCCCGTCGATAGCCTCCATTCAATTAGCGTCTATCAAAGTAAATCGTGATGCTGAGCTGCCTAGTCTGGTAGCTACTTTGCAAGGTGATAGATAGGATTCGATCGACACTAAGGACTGGACAACATGAGGTTGGTTATCATCCAGTGACCAATCGATGTTTTGATCAGTCTCTCACAGCCTTCTAAAGAATGACCTAGAACTTATGCTTCATCATTTTAGGGAATAATGACCCATAGGTTCCACTACCTCAGTTTGAAGTTTTCTGTCTACTGCTATAGGATTGTGATAACTATTCGCATTCTAGCAGATAAGTCATAAACAAGTCTGAATCGACATCTATAGCTGTACAGTAACACCAAGTACAATAATATTATGTTATGGACGTAGTTTGATAAGAAGGTGGCAGATCTTTTTAAATTTCACTGCAGACATACGGTTTTCGTGACGATTATTAGTTGAGTTTTTGAATAATATTTGCATCAAAGTTATAACAAGTGATGTTTATAAAACGAAAACGTTTTCACTAAAACTGCGTAACAATGTGTATTACGCATTGAAACAGAATTATTTAGTGAAGAGAATAATACTATTTTACTATGTAACTTACAGTAAAAGAAACGTAATGAAACTATATTCTCCCAAAATATACCCAAATATACTCTTATATTTAGAAAACTTCTCATGACTTCAGTTTGCTATTGATCAAAAAATAATTCTTAAGTTATTTTTGACTTGCCATCTTCAGAATTAGACATTTCCTATTTCCTACTTAAAATAACTAAATTTTATTAAGTTTATTTAATTAATTTATTTTAACTTAATTAAAGGCAGCTAAACAAGTTTCAGAAGGTATGAATGGTGATTTAATGGCTAAAACATTTATTGGTAATGGTTTCATTGATGAAGTGGTCAAACCTGAAGAATTAGTATTCAGTGAACATTCACCGGATTATTGCAATGTAGAACCTCAAAGGGGTTCAGTTGGTACAAGAGATAGGTAAGTTGATAAAAACATTAAAGTATTATTTTTAATACAGCGTTTCGTAAATCTTGGAGATTCACTGAAATTTTACAAACAATAACTATTGAATTCATTCTTTCGTCAAAAGAATTCATCAAAATGGGATAATTTTTAAGCAAACTTTATGGTTTTTTAACGATTTGACTCTATATTGTCTCCCTAAGCAGATAAACTACCTAAAAATACATTGGATGAACAGAATTGTTTGAAAAATAGACAATCAAATGCAAGAAAACAAGGAAATATCTGTGTACGAAATAACTGAAAGAAGTTGAACTTTATTGTTTCACGATTAAGCAACACAGTTCTCTGAACAAACTGAAATTTGAGACAACTAAGTCATAATGACTAGCGCCAGTACTCACTAGAACTTAAGGGAACGAGAAACTGATAACAAAGAATGGAAATGTTTATTAAAAACTTAAAACCTCATGTGTACACAGTGGTCACTCCCACGAAGGCAATCAAAAGAACTCAACCATTTAATTGATTCTAGAATTGTAGTTTGTGATTATTAATTCCAATACACATCTATCACCATACTTTATTTTTGTAGTCAACATATTTACTGTCATTTATAAGTAAGACTCAACACCTAAAATTTCAAAGTTAACGAAAAGAGTACTTTCCAATATGTGATAATATTAGAGGTTGCTTTGATCACTTCTACGTATTGGAAGCCTAACTTCTAGCAATTTCCTAAGCGTTAGATTTCTTTTGCTTTTCAAATTCCAACTAAGCAACATCCTGAAAGCATCTTGAACTTGTTGAGAAAATTTGTATCGTTCATATTCTGACAATAGGTTCGGAGAAAAATATAATCCCCACAAATCAAATATAGATGTTTATCAAAGTATGTATAGTTCTGCTGATTAAAATAATATTAGACTTTACATGTATTGTTACTTAGTATTTCTTTCCTTTATATCACTCCATTTTGTACAGGATTTGTACACTGAAAGATACTGGAACCTCAAACTGCGTAAACATGTGCTGTGGTCGTGGTTACAGAAATGTTACGAAACGCGAAACTATTCAATGCAACTGTCGTATGGCTAATGGATTTAAAGTTCATTGTGACGAGTGTAATGTTGAAACAGTAACTCAGAGGTGTTTGTGAATAAAAACCTATGAAAAGAAGTGGTTTATTTCAAAACTAAATGTTTCAGGTTAATGATCACATTGTTGAGCACAAAATTGAAATAAGTACCATATGTGCAATGTATACAACTCATTAAAGTTTTCTTAAATTTCTATACTACTTAATTAAGTGTAAGTAAGTAACTACTATTTGCAGTATAATTTAATCATATCGTTCACCATTTATGTACATATTATAATGCTAAATATTGCATGCTGAGCCAAATACATTTTAGTTACTGTGCTGAAAATATCTCAACATAATTCTTACTTTTTATAAACTTATATCACCAGAAATAAACGTCTACATAATTACAAACTGTTGTAATGGCCTTACCTAAAAAGGGATATCTGAATATAAAACAATTAGTTCCCTTTATAAACTTCGACAAAACAATAAGAAGACGTAAATTGTCTGAACCGTGTAATGTATTTGCTCAACACATTTCGAACTATCTGATCACGCACGTACTTGTCATAGGTATTTATATAAAAACTCATGAAGATAAGGGGTGAGAAGTTTATAAAGGGAACTAATTGTTTTAAATTCTTGAAGAAAAGACTCCCTCCGCACACTATCAAAAGGTTAAATGAACTTGTTAACCTTAGATGCAAAATTACCTCTGAACGCGAGAGAATTGGATTTTACCAGTCATGTATTTCAGGTCATATGTTTCCCAGACAGTTTTACAAAACTTTGAAATCTAATAAGCTACAACCAAACATCTCCAATCTTATGCGTCTTACAAAGACACATGTCGAAAATGGGCCGAATAAACTGCATGATATGCTTTTACTCCACATCAATGTATCAAATATTCTATCGGATTTGTCAATAATATGTCGCTTGAAATTCCTACAATTTTGTATTAATGTCATTCACAAAACGAAAGCCAATATGCATCAGAAGCTAACCAGTTCACTTGACAGTAAAAATCATATTAACCATTTCCCTGTTAACCCGGATAAGTACGTTACTAACCTTTCTACAGTGTCACTGTCCACCTATCAGAAGGAAGCCCTATCCCTTGGACTTAAATTTTGTGTTCCTCGAAAGCAGTCATCAGATTTGGCTACCCATCCACAGTTTGAAAACCTATACAACCAGTTGAAACCTCTCGTCCCAACTTCAATTGAGGACCAGGGATGACTGAAAGCCAAGATGGTGGATATCGCCCACCAGTTTTGTGATAGCCATCAGAACCAGAAAAGCATTCTATTTTCTGAACATTTCAGAGCTATGAAGGAACTACGAGAGAACCCTGATATTATTATCCTCAGACCTGACAAAAGCTCAGGTGTCGTGATCATGGATAAAACCGAATATAAGTGTAAAATGTCATCAATTCTTGAAGATGAAAATAAATTCACTAAGGATTGTTCTTCAGAAGACGTACAATTGTTACAGGGAACTGTGACCGCTAATCTAGTGAAACTGCTCGAAATGAACGTCATTACCAGTCAAAAATTTGCCCTACTGAAACCAACTGAATCCCGATTCCCACATCTTTACGGTTTGCCCAAAGTACATAAACCCGACAACCCCTTACGTCCCATAATATCAATGTGTAAGTCGCCAACGCATAAGCTTGCCCAGTGGCTAGTGGAGTTATTGGATCCCATTAAGAAGCAATTTTGTAAGTATTCCTTAAAAGATACATTTGAAGTAATCAAATGCCTTGAGCATGTCAACATAAAGACCTGACCCCTTTTTATTTTCTCACCCCTTATCTTCATGAGTTTTTATATGAGTATCTATGACAAGTACGTGTGTGATCAGATAGTTCGAAATGTGTTGCGCAAATACATTACACGGTTCAGACAATTTACGTCTTCTTATTGTTTTGTCGATATCTGAATAACCAATAATATACATTCATAAACTCAAGTTTGCTATATAAAAAAATTAAACTGTGTTGTTAAATATTTGAAGTTAATTGACAGAAACCTCTACCCCAAGGTTCTTTACTTGCTGATTCTCATGAATAAATCTTGTACTACTTCAGAAAACATGCTGTCACGAATATTTAAATCTATATAACTCAGTGTTGAAGTCATTAACTTCATCAATAAGTTATTCAGACGGTGTATACCATCTGAATCGCTGTCATTCAATCGCTTCATTGCAAAGATGAAGGTAACTGTGATCTGAACCTTCGATGAATAGCTTATTTATGCTCGAAAACTGCTCAGTCCAGCTGACGAAAACTTTACTCTGACTGAAATATGAAACTGTTACCATATGTGAACCGAAAACTTAGATAGAACACCACTTCTTTTAAGCTTTTTAAACAGTAACGTGGAAAAATAAAATAAAAAGCAGATTTTGATTCACATCTCCATGTAAACTATCTCCAATAAGAGATTCATTTTCGTGTTAATATTCACTGATAACCCAAGAATGATAAGACAAAAATTAAATTTGATTCTTTCCCTTGCCAAAAACCCAAGTAGAATAAGAACAACAACTTTGACTGAGGAGCGTGGATCCACTATGTTTTGGGGTTTCTCATCAGCAGCTAACAACCTGAATCAATCAGTGCACCAATTTATACAAATGTTTGTATATTTGAATCAATATGGTGGGAAATTATTGGGCAACATCGATATGCCCTCGTTGATGACACGTGAATTGAGTGAATAAATATGCAAGAACTATTAGTAAGTTCATTATAAATATCCTGGAAGAATTTGAGCTGCTAGTCCACTTTAGTCATTATGTAAGTAAATTTTAATACAATCCTAGAGTGCTTAGAAAGTCAAGACAAGATTTCTCCAAACATGTCACTGCGCATGCCTCAGCTTCTGCAGCAGAATACATCCTGTCAATAAAAAGAACTATTTGAGGAATATTCCTGGGTGGGAGTTCAACAAATAGATGGCGGACAAATTTATTGAGCATATTGAGAAAGTTTATATAAAATATGTGTAAAAAAGGTCAGAAGATTTATTGTTATCTAAGAAAACAAGATGAGTAGAATTCGAAAAATTAGCTCAAAGGTATAAAATCTAACAAGAACCTACACGTATGGATTCAGAATTACATTTGACCCACAGCCAAAACTATTTTATGTCATTTTCTACCCCTGCAATCCCACTACTTGTGTCACTTGTCATTGAATCAAAACTGAAAAGGAATTTCCCCCACCTGATTGATTACATGAAATCGAAAAGTACTATTAAAAACAGAAAACTGGTGAAGGGTTACATTATTTCCATGATGAGCGACGACACTGTCTATTGATAATACCATTTAATAATGGACGTACACTGATAATGATAACTTAAAATCATGATGATCACCTTGGTGGACATAGACTGACAACTGTTTCTTTCTGAACACAAGTACGGCTTTAATCGCTTAGTGGCTGCAGCTTCAGTGAAACCCAGAAAATTCGACCCCATCTATTTATTAAATATTTTGAACGACTTCTGGATATCAAGTTCATGTCCACTACCAACTAGTTGACGAGCAATAGAGCTAGTAAAATGTAATTATATTCTTATTCATGTAAAGGTAGAAAGTTAGAATACTGACAAGTAATCTTTACAGTTTCTCCTACGAGTATCCTTGTAGACAGCGAGGATGCATCAGAAGATACCAAAACTTTATCAGAAATGTTTAAATATTCCAGTTTTTGAATAAATTCAAAGCTATTTTTCAAAATGAGAACCGCTAATGTTTTACAAATTGATTTCAACTCCCCTATCAACCAACAAGTGAGTTTGTATGTCTTCGGTTATGTCATATCAATGTTCACTTTAATTCAAGCCCACAACTCGTTGTCAAATTAGTTTAAGTATAGAAACATCTGTATAGATTGATGTTAAAATTACATTCAGTTATAAGCAGCCGATGAGAAACTTTGAATTAAATGAATCCATGTAATCCTGCTAAAGCAAATGTTCTCTCTATTTAAATACCGAATAAATTGAAGTTATATAAATTAATTTCGTTCCAAATGTTTGAGTAAGTCGCCAGCATTTCGTGACACCTTTGTATCAAAATTTTTATACAAAGGCTTACATACTGCAATTAGTTTAGTGGCAACATATTAATGTGAAGGAAATGCATTATGAGCCTAGCATACTGACAGTCCCTTAAATTCAGTACTATGAAAAGGGATGATCATTAATAAAGTTGCACAGGGAAGAAAATATTCTAAAAAGAAAACAGAACGGAGTCTTAGGGTAATAAATGTATGACAACCGAAAATTGAATAATGATGCTTAGTAAAGAATCATTTTTTCGTCAATGTTAGTTACTTTATCAAGTACATACATTCTATTTGAAGTCACCGAAAATAACAATAAGAGAGAACAAGCAAAATAGTATTATCAGTTAGAAAACGACCTATAGATTGTATGGTTTGCGTTTCTATTTCTAACAGCCGAGTACATTTTCAACCACCTAAGTATAGTACCAACCTGGTTTCGACTAGAAACCACATAGTCAAGATTATAGTGTGTGAGATCTGACACAAAATTTTCATGAACTAACGAAATATACAACTAAAAAACTGTACTAGTCAGAAAATATTTTATAATTTTGCCCTTTCATAAATTTGGATAAAGCATTAAGAACAATACTAGCAGAATTTAATAACTCCCATCGTAACACAAAGAACAAAATATTCAACAAAGAGACTCTTTTCAAGTTGTACAATCGTATTTACATGATATATAAACAATTATATCCCATGTGGAAAACTAAACACTATATGATGATGATGACATTGGTACTTGTGGTCATGATAACAACTGAAGTATGAATGACAAAGTAGATTACATAATATATGGAATGGTTCACAGAAGGTATATAACTCAGAAGGGGATGAAAAAATTGATGAAAATGATAAATCAATTATGACAATTAAGTGAAACAACACCGGAAACTAGTTGAAGTGAAGGCGATTATGATAACAATAATAGTGATAAAGGAAGGATACAAAGGTTAAATTAACAAAGTGGGAGGGGGAGCTAATGAGGTGGGAAAATGTTATGGCCATGATAAAGACAGTGACTGCACATACTTTTTTTGTACACACAGATCAGGTCTCAGTTCATGAATAGCTAAAGCCTCCGCTGTTTTAAGGAGTTGAAAACGAAGAGAACGTGGGAGTTTTGGGCGAATTTGATAAATAATTTCAAAGTCATCCTCTGGATTTGTTGTGTGATGGAAGTCAATCAAATGTTCTAGAATCGAACTTCTAACAGACTTTCTTTCACCTTTATAAACCAAGCAGGAACATGTATACGTGTAGAATTATGTATTATGTAATAGGATTAGACAAGTTGGTCAAGATGAAATCAATGTT